CTTTTATTCCTGATTTAAACTGTGATCTTATGAGCAGCTGCAGCTGTGTGCTTTTATTTTTTTATGTCAGGCTGTAGCGGAGCGCTCCTCCTCCTCTGTGAGGTGGACAGCTCAGCCGAAGCTGTCACGTTCTCTCGTCCTGGCCACACCTCCGCTCTCTAACCCCACCTCCCCTACCCACTTTGATGCATTTTTCAAATTTCGCCTTGGGGCGGAGTTATCTTTTCACAGGGGGGTAAGACACACTTTAAAACATGAAAATAAATCAAAGAAATCCACCTCGGATTCGACCAACAACATTCCATTCCAAGCAGGTGGTTCCTGAACGCAACAGCTTGTCCAGTCCGTGTTGAGCTGTCAATCATGATTCTGCACCGCCTCCTGTCATCTGAGGCCCCGCCCCCCCATGCTAAATACGGGTCATAAGTTCGAAACTGAAAATAAGTTTGAAATTGAAAAAAATATGTAATTTTAAAGTGAAAAAAAATTGTTGAAACTGAAAAAAACAAGATGTTTGAAACTTTTTCATTTTCTAATTTTTTTTTTTCAGTTTTAAATCTTTTTTCCTTTTTTGCAGTTTCAAAATTAATTTTCGGTTTCAAATCTCTTTTTTTCAGTTTCAAAGACTTTTTATTTTTGAACAAAACTGATGACCCCAATTTAGCTCCATATACTGGGACTCCTGCTCACACTGGTGACCTAAATAACTTTATTTTTCCCTAATCCAAGGCCCACGGGCCACGTGTGGCCCACCGTGGCATTTTCTGTGGAGCTTTAAAGCTGTATCATTATCTTAAAACCAGTGGTGGACAAAGTATTTGCTCTCTAACTGTCTTTCCTCCTCGAGCTAAAAGATGTGCAGGATGAAAGGGAGGATTTACCTGCACAGGCTCTTCACATGATGTGATCCAAAGCCTGGAGCAGAAAGGCCTTTTCTCTTTGCTTCTGCCACTGAACTGCTCAAATATGTCATTTTCTGACCTGTAGCAGAACAATAACTAAATACTAAAGGTAACAGGATGGTAGCTAAAAAGGTAAGAGTTGCAGAACTTGAGTTAAAAGCTATTGGTACCAGTAGGCAGCTAGAAGTGAAAAGTAGCTACAAACAGAAGACTAAAACAGGAATTCAAAGCATTTTGAGGAAAAATGTGCAAATTAAGTAAAATATTTTAAAAAGTAATAAAGTACAAAACCTAGTGGTCATAGCACTCATCACCTGAATGAGCAAAGTGTAAAATGTACAAAATAAACAGGAAAACCAAAGTGTGGATGTTGAATCAGAGAACAACAAAGACCTAAATGGAAGCTAAATTGTATCTTAAAACTTTATTAGTATACAAAATACTCCAGTACAGATGATGACATACAGTAATACTGAAGGCTGCATGTTGATGTGCCACTCAGAAACTCAAACCTCAGTCAGTGACGGCAGCTGATGCACAGCAGACATTTTAAAGAACAGAATTTTAGAAACAAGTTATTTTCTAATGTTCATGGAGACAACTTTTGAGATAAATAAAACACACAAAAACTCAAAATCAAAACAAGTTGTCATGCAACAGCTGCAACTGATGAAGACATTTTCTCCAGAACAAGCTGGTCATGGGGACACGCTGATTAGGAGAACTTGGCTGCTTGAGGAGGAGGTCCCAGGAAGCCCCCGGCCTGCTTCGTTGCTGCTCTGGAGGGTGCGAGGCCGAGCAACTTCTGAATGTTCTGGAAGACAGGCAGTAAATATGTTTCTTACACACACAAAACTGCTGGAACAGATTTATACTGGGTGAGACGTCGACATTTAAACCCTCCTAATGTCCTCACACTGCAGCAAACAGAAAGAACACGTTGTCGGTACAGATGTTTGTTTTCAGAGCTGGAGAAGGAGGATCTGGTATTTCTCTTAACTGATCAGAACTGCTAATTTGAAAATTGGTTACAAAGAGACCTCCACATTAATGATGAAAGCAGGAAACGTGTTTCTGAGCTGCCCAGCTGACTCAAGCAGGGGTCTCTGAAGAACGTAGGGGGAGTTTCTTGTCTCTGTGGGCGGAGTTTAGAATATAGGTGGACTTTGGCAAAACTGTGATTGATCTTGACTTGTCTTGTAATAAAAGAAATATTGTGAACATGTAAATATAATTTATTGACTTCAATTTTGGTGGGGCTAGCACCTTCCTGCCTCGAGTTATGACTGCTATTAAAACATATCTTTAGAACAGAGGTTCTCAAACTGGGGTCGGTGAGAGGTCTCTTGGGGGTCCTCAAAAAATTTCACTAAACTGTTTATTTGGTTTTTAGTTTTAAAAATGCACAGGGAACAATGAATTAATAACACAAACATAATAAACTAAATAAAAAATATTTTCCCATGGCATTTAGGGGTTGAAATGACAGCAAATTACCCATTTAAAAAGCATGGGTTTATGGGGGGGGGGGGGGGGGGGGGTCCCTGAAATTTTTTTGCCCTTGTAAGGGGTCCCCAGACCCAAAACCCAAAAGGTTTGAGAACCCCTGCTTTAGAACATTAAAAAATGGTGAAAAAATGGTGGTGGGTTTTAACTAGGCTGAATTGTTACATGTCCCTCCACAGGTACGGCGTTTAATTTTCAAGCAGCTACCATCTTACTGTCTTGATAAATTATTATTTATATTTTAAAATATATGGCTGTTTTAACTGAGTTATACATATACATCCCACCAGCTGCCCCAGGCTTCTTCAAACCCCACCTAAAATAGTTAATTCGATTAATCGCGTCTTGAACAAACTCCTCCCACAAAATAAGAAAGGCCCACTTAGTGACTGCAGAGACCCCCTTTTTCAGCTGACGGGCTCACTCGCAGCTAGCGTAGCCACAAAGAGCCGCCCGTGTCTCCACGCTGTCTCTTCTGGGCATCTCCTTCAGCGAGTTTGACTATGTTTGTATGATTGATTTGATTTGATTTATTGATTTAACAGGAAAAGATTACTAAAAATCAAGCCTGGCTCAGCATAATTGCT